TCTTGGTCCCCAACTTTCACACCAAAATAATGTTCATAGGCTGTCTTAACGATAGGTGTCATTTTACGTTTCTGAGCCTTAAATGTTATTTCACCACATATATAGCAAAAGCTATCGACAGAATTCACACACTTTCGAGGCATTTCAGATCAGCACTTAAATTAATTAAAAAATCAACTTCACACGATAATTTCAATAGCAATCGTTTGGGTACAATTGACAAACTCACATAGGTTATGTTTACTACTTAAGAACAGCTGATGAGAGGGGTGTTATGTAAACAAACATGTGTACCAACTGTTGGTGATGAAATATTTCATTTGTTGAAAATTCAATATACACATATATAATATAATGATACTATATCTTGAAAACAAGAGCTAATATATAATTTTTATGGTCACTTTCGGTTTTAACATGTGGAAATACATTTAAATCATCTAATTTCAACCCCGAAACAAAAACTTTGTTGTGTTGTACAAACAACTGTACAGTTGTTTGTATAGAGTGGGAGGTCATGATGTGGCTTTCAGTGTTCCTTTGGTCTGCTATGCCCTGCTTAAGCTTGCTTTGGTGATATGTACAATTTTGCTTGTTCCCTATCTAGTTCATCTTTCCATAAATATGTGGAGATGAGTTCAATCTTTAAGGATCACCATGTCCATTGTATGATGTGACGAATTGGGATGAAAGTAACCAGGTTCAATTCAATACCACGAAAACCCAGGCATCGGTTTTTTCCATGAAGATACATGTCCCCGAATCGGATATAATAATGCCAGGTCAGACAATTCTGCTTTGTGCTTCGATAAGTTTGTTGGCAATTAAAATGGACTCCAATATGTCTTGGTACAATCATGTCGCTGGAACTGCAAAGGCTGCTTCTCGAAAGCATGGAACACTGTTCTGAACCAGAAAACTGTACACACTTTAGCAGCTTCTGATGCTTTATGAAGCTAAGATCAGACCTTCTTTGAAGTAATGTTCTCATGTATGGAGCTCCGCCCCCAAACATACCCTAAAGCTGCTGGGTTCTATCCAGAAAAGAGCCATCCGCCTGATTGGAGACGCGAACATCACTTGTAACCTTGATAATATAGAACATCGAAGAAAGGTTGGAGATTAAGCTCTCTTCTTTGGATATTTTCACGGGAAGTGTTCAAGTGAGTTAACATATTTGATTCCACCAAGAGCGGTACATATCTGAAATAAGCGACTGTTTGTGGCTGCTCATCGTTATGAGGTTCAAACTCAGTACACCTCAAATTTCACTGTTCAAGAACTCTTTCATTTGGAAAACGGCGTTTATGTGGAATAAACCTCCTGAGATCGTTTTTCCAAATGGATTTAATCTCCAGCGATTCAAATCCAATATGAATCACTACTTTCGCATAGGCACCGCTCTAAGAGCGCTTTAAGGCTTTTCCTGTAGTGCTTGTGTTTCGTCCTTAAAAAAAAAGATTATGACTCCAACAAGTATTTATTCATTGATAAGTCTTGTATAATATACACTAAAATAAAACATTTTGATATACACGAATATGGAATAAGAAATGAACATTGTTTTTGTCAACTAAATTGTAGTCACATGTACTGTAAAGAATCACAGGAATAGGCGAAAGTTCACCTTTATAACTTGCTGTCTAACTAACTTAAAAAAATACTTCCACAAAATAAAATTTACATTTACAAAACTGTTTCTATGACTGGAGTGAGTTCATCAGTTATGTGTGAACTCATGATTCCATAATTTTTATTTTTTTTAGTATTTTGATGTTTTTAATCATCTTTAAAATAGTTTTCACTGCCCTACATGAAAATTCTTGTTTTTGAGTTCATCCGTAAGGACCGATCCTGAACAATGTAATTGATGGCATAAAAATGTCCAACATAGTCGAAGGTCTTCAAAAAAATTAGTTACTATGATGTCCGGGGCATAGCTCTCAAGCTCGTCCAGTCTTATCTCACAAATAGGTACCAATACGTTGAAGTGAACAACATGAAGTCCGACCTCAAAAAAATGAAGCACAGCGTTCCTCAGGGCTCCATTTTAGGTCCATTATTCTTTCTTATCTATGTCAATGATCTATGCAGTATTATAAAACAAGCAAGATATACCTTGTTTGCAGACGATTCGACTTAATTATATTCTAGCAAAAAGTCAAACATCTCGCAACTAACGGTGTGATATAGTGAAACAGTATCATATAATTAGTTTGTTGCTAATGAGCAGACTTTGGTAATGAAACTCAAAATATAATCGTATCTTGCAATCCAAATATTCATCCAACTGAAAGTATAAATTTTTAGGATTCGTTATTGATAATAGATTGAGCTGGTTTGATCATTTCAAAGCTGTTACTAGCAAGCTTTCTGCTGTTTTGTTTGTTCTGAGCCGATTAAATGATGTGGTCCACTTGATGATGCTCAAAAGAGCCTACTATGGATTATTTCACTCAGTTATGTCATATGGTATTCTGGTTTGGGGTCATTCAGGTAACTCCATTAATGTTTTAGGTGCCAGAAAAAGGCCACGGGAATAATTGCCAGAGCAGTTTACAAGGAGCACTGTTGTTTCTTTTTTTATTCAACTTGGCATTATGCCACTTTCAACATCAGGTATATATCTATGTTAGTTCTAGTTATACTAGAAATTCATGAAAACGATAATAAATTCGACAGACATTGTGATACTCATGATTATGGAACACCTACTTTTCCACAATGAATCAAGATATTCCCAATTGTTCCATATTTTTAATGTACATTCCACCGCATTTCAAAATGTTCTGGAATATTCTGGACTGTTTTGAAATGCTCCCTGGCTCAAATGATCCGGACTGTTTCAGAACTTTATAGAGAGCGCTCATTTCTTCAAAAGCACGCTCTTCAGGTGAAAAGAGAACCTTCTTCATGGATATACTGATGTGATACCATAAAAGAAAAAAATGTTCTGTTGTGTCGCTTGTGTGATAATTTTAAGTTCCCGATGGAATTATCAATGATTGTCCTTGCTGGTCTGTAGAGTAGAATATACCTGGGTTCCTATGTTGCTTCATCTGTTATTTAATTCATTGAATTTGGTAAAGAGTATTAGGAATCCTTACTGATAAAAATACTTGAATTGAGTCAATAATCTTAGATCATTTAAAACAATGTATGCTATCTGTTTTTCAGTTAAAAACTATTTAAATGGCCGTAATCTGATTTGATAGCAAAGAAGACAACTCTGGTAACTCGACGGATGATAATCTCAATATCATAGCAATTGAGAGGTATATAAATTGAATACCATTTACTTTTGTAACATAATTCAATTATCACATCCATGGTTAGGTGATAAGATTACATGAATAGTATTTTTTCGAATCTTGAAAATGTTTTGTCTGTGGAAGAACTATCTCAAAAAATTTCTTGCAACACGCGGCTGTTCCGTGTCGAAGAAAGCCATGATTGGCGGATGGTTTGGGGTGGTAAGTTGATGTTTTTCCGTTGTTTTCACTTCTGCACGATCATAAATCATTGATTATGAAAAATTGTTCTATTATTGGCGGATATTAGATGAAATTGCTTTATTCACAACATGACATACAGGGTGTTTATGCGGCAGGAAAATCAAAGGACTATTCCTTGAAGTTTTTTTCCAACACCAAACCGCTCTTTTAACACCTCCACACGTGTTTTTATCACCAAGTAATCATCTTCAAAAGGAAGATCAAACTAATCATATTTACAAAGTTATTCTCATTTATACCATAGATACCTGTTCTAAGTACATGTGACTTAAGAGTCTTGAATTAACTTCACAATATTGCTTCATCTACTAGTCTCAAATTAACTTGACAATGTGTCCTTATGTAATAGTCATGTTAAAATATCATTTTAACAAGCTATATGAATGTTTACTCATTTCTACAGTCTCATAGTCATCTAAATGCCTGTTGTTGTTGTTAACTTGTCTAATTAATCAATTAATCTTTATGAAGTGAAGTCTATGGAATGTTTTTTTTGCAATATATGATGGGCGACTGCTGATTTTTCAGGTCTTCCATATTTTAAGTGTGATAAGTGTTCCTTACATCTTGATTCAATAAATCTTGTTGTCTGTCCATGATATTTTGCATCGCAGTCCTTACATGTAATTTTGTAAATTCCAGACTTTTCCGAATTCTCGACTTTGTCTTTTGGACTTCCTAAAAGTCATACACTACGGAGCCTTTTAGGAAGTTAATGAACACCCTGTATATTTGACATGGTGAACCAAGCACAAACTGAAAAATGATATATATGTTTTCAACTATATTCATATGATGAAAATCAATAACGTTTTCAAAAAATTCATTACTGTGAGATTTTCACTGAACAGTTTTACAAAAACGCGATACGTGTTTCGCCATACAAGGACTTCCTCAAGCGTGTATTTTAATAGGGGGCTGTCTGGTCGTTATTACATTTGTATAGTACTAATCAAGTCTTTGTCGATCTGGAAGATTTTCCAGTGGTGCCTGACCGAAATCGGCAGCTTTTTTGTCAAAGCTTTAATATACGAACAGGTGCTTCTCCCTGTTAGGGGGTTGGTCAGAAGATGGAACTGAGTCTACTTTATCTTAGGTCAACGAGTCCAATCTCAGGAAGTTGTCGTATCAGCGGGGCACCGTCTTGTTGGAACATAATTTTCTCTTCAATGTATGCAAGATATTTCTTGATGGTGTCACTAACAACTGGGTCTTAACTGAATCCAAGTACTATCATCTATTGAATTTTCAGAAACTAAAGAGACCTCAGGAAGAAATTTCTCGAAATACCGCCCAAACTTCAAGTCTCGAAGATTTGGGTTAGTTCAGTCAGCCCTACAGTATGGACTGATCTTCTGGGGTTCTTCCTGTCATTTTAAGGAGGCATTCCGTGCACAAAAGAAGGTATTGAGGATTATATTTAAAGCTCATCCAAGTTCAACCTGCAAACCTTTATTTAAACAATTTCAAATAATGACGCTGCCTTGTCTTTATATATCTCAGTTAATAATGTTTGTAGGTAGAGGAAAATGAAAAAAAATCGTGATGTTCACTCGTATTTGACTAGAAATAGAGAACATTTTTACCAGCCTTATTCTAGACTTGGAGTATGCCAAAATTCACCGAATTATATGGGTATCAAATGTTTTAACAAAGTAAAGAGCTTTATTGACAATAATAACAACATTAATATTTTCAAGAAAAATTTACATCTATTTTTAATTGATAACTCATTCTATAGTATTGATGAGTTTTTAGACTTTCAGACTTTTAACTTTATATAGTCTACGTAGGTCTATCTCTCTTATTTTAGTTTTGTATGATCTATGTAGGTCTATCTCTCTTTAGATTTATACGATTATGTCTCTCATTATGTGAACATATATTGTGTATATATTTTTTTTCTCTGACTAGTCCGATAAATGTTATGCATTTTGTAAGTCATCACAGTTTGTGATGACGAATAAATATGAATATGAATATGAATATGTGTCTACAATAAACTGGGCCCAACAATTAACTACATCTTTGAAGAAAATACACACGCCTGAAAAACAAATAAATAAATTGAAAATCAATATTTTGCATTTTTTTTCAGTTTTTGTGCTTTTCTATGAGAAGTAAAATCAACAGTTATATCTTTCTCTAGAACAGAGGTTCTCAAACTTATTTTGTCTACCGCCTACTTCGAGAATTAATTATTTTCTATCACCCCCAATTTTTTTTACTTCACTACATGTTAAGAATCACAATCGCAGTCATTATTCAAATAATTGAATTATGTGTGTCTGCAACCGATTTCTCTTTTTAGTTAGCTATGTTGCCACAGCACTAAATCCACGTTCACACAAATACGATGATGGGAATGCTACCAAAAATCGTTGAACGATGGACCACAATCCACGGTACAAAGGCGGGATTGGCTTTTGTAGCGAAAATCATTGGTATCCATTTTTTGATTTTATTTTTATTTCCTCGTTTGTTATCAGTTCTATGAGTTCTTCTTCCAGCTGGAGTGATCCTGCTGTGTTGACATTCAAAAAAGGATCCAACACCCAGTCCGGTATTTCCAACTTTGAAATGTCCTGGAATCGTTCTGCGAAATCGCTGTGGAGGTTCTCCAAATGTTGGCAGTAAACAAGCAAGTCGTCGTTGTTGAAGGATACTGCTGATAAATTAGGGAAATTGCGAAACTCAGGTCTGCCGATATCATTGTTGTATAAGAGCAATTTGGCTACAAAAGCAGCAATGACATTTTTTGTTTCAATCAAATTTAAGTCGTCACCTTGAAGTTGGTTGCTTAGAAGCCGCTAAAAAAAGATTTGACACAGTTGGTTGGGCTGAGTGTTTCTTTTCCAGTTCTTGAAAATAAGTCACACTTTTGCCTTTTTTTATCTGAATGCATTTTATTCAAATGATCTTGTAGCCTCGAGGGTTTCATCGCTTCATTCAAAACTGTTTTTTGACAAAGAAGGCACATAGGTGAAGATGAATTTGTGGGATTTTCAATAAATCCATATTTTATATATTCCGCGTTATACTGCCGTATCTTCTGTTTTGCTTCAGATATAATTTTGCCTTCAAAAATGCCGAAGTGAAGAATCGAGTATCAAAAACTTGCTAATGACACCCCTCACAGTATTTACCACCGCACGTACAGCACTTTACAAGCTAGTCGCTTACTAAATTCACTTGTCTTCGTAATATTACTGGCTGGACGACGCGCGCGCTTTTATATGAGGCAGCGGGCGGGCCTAGCACTTTCGAGAATGGAGACTAGAAACTTCTCGTTTCGCATTGAAGTTTACCGCAATCTATTGTACAGTTTGACAACTATCGGATAGGCAATAGTTACTGTCTAGTACCCTAGATGGCGTTAAACGAGGAAACGCGCGTTAAGCGGAAAAGGACCGGTAAAGTTTGTGTTGAAAGCAAAATAACATTTTCAAATTAGTCATCGCCCCTCTAAACCGCTTCAACGCCCCCCAATCTTCTGTGTGCCATTTACTGCCCCCCGATAGGCCTCCAGCGCTGACAAGGGCGCGTTATCGCCCACTTTGAAAAAGACTACTATAGAAGATGATCACTTGGTGATCGAAACACATGTCGAGATAGTAAAATAACGGTTTGGTGTATAAAACTCCAGTAATATTCAACAAAGTTGCCGATTATATTATTATACTTATTTTATGTTTCAGATATGGAGGTCAACAATCAGTGTATTAGTTTCATATTATTTCAAAGTAGAGGGTTCTGACAGTTCAACGATTTTACGAACAGCATTAATAGGAATTTTATCCTACCTACTGCTCAGTTTCCTGACGAATATATTGTTTCTGGCTGCAATTTCTCAGGTAATTTCTCCGTACTATTTACTAAATGTCGTATGTCGCAAAATATATCAGAGTACCGCATAGCGTAATTGCCAGAAACAAGTTGAGATTGTTTGTGAGACCGGCATTTTTTACCTGAGAAACTATTGTGAAATTATCAAAACTCTGAGCGGGCCTTTGATCCCCCGTTTGAGAAACTATAATGATGATATATTCCGTGAAACCCTCAACCAGTCAAATTCAAACAACACTACATTTGCCTGTTAACTTGCTAATCATTTTCAAAATTGTCAGCTTGAAATTTTCCTCTATTCAACTGTCTATACACGAGTTGATTGATTATTATACTTGGTTTTATGTATACATCACCAAAAATGAATTTTTTTGTATTTTTGTATATTCAGTTCCATTTTTAATAGGTTGGCTATACCACACACAAGAGGCAATATGGCAATATGACAGACATTCGAAACATCGGATGTCTGCCATTGGGCATGACAGTGTTCCATATGAGTGAAATTTTACCTGTTTTGTGTACTATATTGTGCATCAGCCTGTGAATGATATCTGATTCAATTCCATAAAAGTGTTTTTTGTATAATTAGAGTTATTTTTGTTGAATGAATTGCTTTCTTCCTCTCTTTGGAAAACTCCTACATTGTTTGTATGAAGATGGAGAAGTAGAAAGCCAGAACCTTTCTTTCCCATTCATTATCATATAATTGATTGAATCGACATGAAGCTGCTCCAGAAACCTTGTTCCTCGAAAGCTGTACGTAACCAATTCTTTCTTTTTCAGAATTGGCCATACGCCCTCCTTCCATATATTTCAATACAAGGGATAGAACTAATTATTTATCTCTTTTTCATGACGTCGCTGTCAATGATCTTATATGTTATCAAAGTGAATGCTGCTATTTGGCTTGTGGTTCCAATAATGGTTGTGATTTTAGGTGAGTACATACCAATAACCCCAGTCATAGAAATTATAAAAATTGATTCATCTCTACTCATATTGAAGAAGAATAATTCCTTTCACAAAATAGTCTGACCCATATTCTTGCCAAGTTATTATAAAAAATGTTTTCAGATTTGATACAGAAATGTTAGTCGACGCCAACTAAAATGAGTCAGCGCAGAAACGTAAAATAGTTCTGTGTTAAAAGACTCCGCCCACTTAAGTCATATTTTGCATTGTCAGTAGCGCAAGAGCTAGAAGTAAATAGGTTTGAGTCAGGCGTTAAGCTATAAGTTGAGTCGTTAGTGAAGTTATGAATCCATAAGCCAATTTTATAACTTCAAAATGAGTGAGGACGAACATGTTTTATTAAATGTGTATAATTACTTCAGAAGTGGAGAAAGTGAATTGGACACTTTGTTAATGGTGAAAAGTAAGACATCGCAAGCAACAGGAAAATAACTTTTAAATTTCACTCCAATAATATTTATTGGGTTGAGGATTGTACATATAGGACGAAACTGCAGTAACGTTAGTTACAATTGAAAGTGGTAAAAAACATAGAAATTTTCATTTCCCTTTTCATATTTTTTTAATAAATAGCCAATTATAAATGAATACATAATTCGTAAAAATTGAAAAGGGAACCGGGAAATTCAATAAAAATGTTATGGCGCTGTTCTCAATTAATATTCTCAAATCTATGATAGTTTGATGATTTTTATGTTAATAAATATCGGATACTTAGTTTTTGAATGGTAAGCTTTCCCACAGTTTTCATTCAAAGAAAGTTTGTTATTCGTTTACGTAATTAAGTTCAGTTAGCTAAATATATTTCTGGTGCATTACCTTTAATCGATCTATTGATTATCGTGGTATTCTATTTTTTTTTTATTTTAGAGTTTTATCTCTATCAAATTTCTTTCAAATTCAAAATCACCATCATTACATTTTTACCTGACTGGTTTTTGAATAGAGAACATTGACACCAACAAGTGGCATGAACGTCATCATACACTCGGCATCGTCACGATGTTTTACGTGTTGCATAATTCCATTGTGAAAATTTGGGATTTGACTTGTCAAATGTGACGCAGTAACCAAGACGGCTGTTGTACTCGCTTCGGCGGTACATATACTAAAATTGGAACGATACAGAGAAGATTAGCATGGCCCCTGCGCAAAGATGCCACGCAAAATCGTGAAGCGTTCCACATTTTTGTGTGTACCCAAAACCAAGCCAATATTCGTTCATTACATACCTCCATCCATAGGATGAACAAGCAACAGGGCCCGCTGTCCTTACATAAGATTTTATTTGAATGTACATAACTTAAAGGCATTGCCTTACCTTCTCCCACCTTAAGCTGTAACAGATGGATTTGCGCTGACAGTGTAGACCATTGACGATAGTTGTGCTTACCTTCTGAATAGACTCTGCTTACTTTGCGAATAAACCTATGTGCTTGCTAGTGCGATGTCTTCGTAGTGCATGGGCAACCATTGTTTTCACCTGTATGATATAACTGGATTATTTTTAGCTTACTGTGCTTAAGTTCCTGGATAATAATTTCAACCCAAGTGTGGATGGGCCCGCCCCAGGTCCACTTAAGTGTGGCCACATTTGGATTTAACAACAACGTTCGTTACCAACTGGCCGGATAGCCTTAGTTGCTGAGGCCACTGAATCGAAAAGAAGAAGAAGAAGAACCAAGACGGCAAAATGCCGTCACGCTCCGTTCATATCTGTATCTGTAGAGTAGGGAAGGTGAGTGTGAGCCCACAGCACTTATGCCACATGTGACCCATTATCCTCCTAGGTCATCGTCCATCCTGTCCTTTCCAGGAAGGTGGACAGGTCACTGGGAGACATCTCCTTTATATCGGCAGGTGGACGCTAAGACTCGCCGAACATACACTCTCTTATTGACGATTACTCCGGGCATTCGCCTAGGACATGCCTGACAGTCTCATCTTTCTGTTCACACATCCTTCATAGAGGTGTGTCCACTAGCCCCATATTATGTCATCAGGCCGTAGGTGCCACTGAGTCCTAAAATTCTTAGCCCAGCCCCTTCCTTGGATAAAGAGTCGGCAATGCGATTACCTCTACTCTTGTCGTGTCCTTTTATCCACTTCAGGATAACGTTATTATCTACCTAGGCTTTGGCTAAATATTGGTGGCACTATAGTACTAGCCCAAAGGTAACACGTTGTCTGTTCAAGGCTAATAGGGCTTGTCTGCTGTCAGTGCAGATTGTTTTTCATTTGCCAGAAATTCCTGTCCTGGTTATTTCTTTTGTGGCGATTGAGATACGAGCCAGTTCTTTTTCGACCACGCTGGTATTTTTCCCATTCCCCACTTAATTCTTAGGCTCAGTGATCTGGAGTACACTCCACATCCTGAGCCTTCTTTGGTTGTTGAGCTGTCTGTATATATATGCATATCGCATTTGTATCATCTGACTCTGTGTTCTGTTCCATATGTATTTTGTAGGGTTCATTAAACACAAACCTGGGCTCAATTGCATCACTGGATGCCTGCAGTAGAGGTTGCTCACTTCCCGCCATAGGCTCAGCCACATTTGACCCATTCCTACTTTGAGGTTTACACCAGCCGTGCGCAATCGTAACATGGCAATTAACGCAACCTCAACGGGGTCAGACCCGTAATTAATTCCATTGCTGCGGTTGGTGTTGTTCTCATGGCTCCTGTGATGTTTGAACAAGCCAGTCATTGTATTCGATATAATTTTTCGATGGTCGTTGCTTGTAGAACTTTCGGTCCCTATGCAATAGCTCCATACGTAAACATAGGTCTTATTATTGCAGTGTAGATCCAGGCGACGAAAGACCCCATGCGCATTCCACTGTCCTTCGACATTGCTCATAAGCCATATATGCTCTTTCTGTTCTACTCTGTAGGTGAGAGTTCCATATTAGCTTCCTGTCGAGGATAGTTCCAAGGTATTTCACCTCTCCAGAGAAGTTAAATTTGCTTCCGAAGATTTCGGGAGGTTTTGAGCCCGATATACTGCTTTTCCTGGTGAAAAGGACCACCTCAGTCTTCTTGGAATTGATCTACAATGAGTGTTCCTTACACCAAGTTTTTATTGAGTTCAGCCTATCCTACGCTCTATCGCACAGTGAGTTCACAAATTTGCCGGTCTGCAAGATAACTGTGTCATCTGCATATGCAATTGTGTAGAATCCATTATTGTTGAGGTGTTCAATCAGGGTATCCAGAACTATGTTCCCGTCCATATATTAACAAGTTTATGCACCTTACTAATTTAGCTAATCTCACTCTCTCTCTATATTTTGGATGGTCGTTGCTTTCTATCTTCAGGCGTATTTGGCCAATGCTTCTCCTGTTACGTAACTGACTGTTACATAACAAAAGCTTCGTCGAGGGACAAAGACTGTCTTGCAGCCCGTAAGTCTGTGTCCGAACTATCGTCTGCTTCATAAAGATTATTGTTGCGATCCTACTCCTACGTGGACATCCGGTCCACTTCGGCCTCCAACCGGCGTGAATGGGGGTACTATTTATTATAACACTTAACACTTTTCAATAACACTATTATTATTTAATTGATGCTGGCTCGTTATATAACGGCGCACATTCTCAACACGAAATGAATTCCGTATCCAACAATGGCGTCCGTGTACCTTCTTTGAGGACGGTCGTTATCGGCTTGTCCGTTCAGCACCATATCGGAAACGGAATTCTAATTTAGCTAATTTAATCTTATTTTTGCACACGAAATCACAAAACATAAGAGTTCGAGTACATTGAACAATGAAATGTATTGTATACTAACGTACACGTGCAATTCCATAATTTCAAGAATGCTTTCATGTATATTACATTTGATCAAATTATTATATGCTCAAGGCACTTGCTTATCGAAAATTATGGATTTGCATATATTTTAACTGAATATCCCCGGTACACTCGAGATATAATCCATTATAATTATTTTGCATTTGATAAAAACTACTCCAGTTTGATAACAGAAAGATCTGAAGCAAATAGATTTCTCAGTGGAGGAGATGAAAAAAAATTGAAAATGAAATAGTTTGTAACAACTCTAAAACGGCATTGTATAGGCTCCGGAGTTCATATGTTTCTTTAGAACTCCAAGAAAAAAGATAGATTGAGTATTACTTGTTATGTTGTCAATGGTGATATCTTCATCAATGGTGAATATTCCAGTAACACTATTCAGTATTAATTATTTTCCTTGAACTATGAATTATTATCTTTGTTCTCATTCCATATTTTGATTTCAGCTCTCAATGCCTACTTTTTCGCTTACTCTTTGGTAGAACTCAGAAAAATGGAATTCGACATTAGGACGAAAAAAAGGGAGAAAGAAATAGCAGCAAACCAGTTGAATCGTAACAAAGAACCTCCAAGAAAGTCCCTCAGAGCAATACGACAGGAAAAACTTAGGGCAACAGCCCAACTGTGATTTTTCTCAACCCAAATGGTACTGGTGATACGAAATAAAATTTTACATGAGTTCAATGATAGTATTCATTATTAATGAAATCCATATTTGGGATATTCGGAACGTGCTCAAAAAATTAATTCCCCAAGCTGAAATACTGTTTGTTGAATGACCTCATCCAATGTTAATAACCCTCTATGATGATTCAGGTTAATCAAAACCATACCTACCAAGATTTTCATACTTACAATGACAACAAAGGTCTGATAGTCCGGAAAGTACGCAATTCCGGAAAGGGGAAGAATTTCACGAAAGTTAACATGTCGGTACATCAAAGAAAGCAATATAGTCGTCTCAAGCAAGTGACACTGCAATTCATCCTCGAAATCACTGAGGTATTTCTACCCGTTATGCCCCTTGAGGACGCCGCAAAGGAGCCATCAGCCACTTGCGACAAAGAACTTCAAAAGAGGCGGCCGACGCTGTTCATCATATTGCGTTAAAAATAGTATCAATGGGCGTCATACGGGGGGTGTTACTATATATTTGTATGTATTATGCGAAGATAATTGAAATTTTGTGAAAACTAATTTTGTTCAAGTATTTTAACTTGAGAAGCACAATTGATATTAGGAATAGTTTTTTATTTAGGACTGTTACCTTCTACGGATCTATAAAATATTCAGAATATTGAATTTGAAAATGAATACAAGTAACAAGGGCAAAAAATTACTGCTTTTGATAAATTACCTTTTTGAAAAAAAAATCAATCTATCAGTAACTTGAATTTATGAAATTTTGCATATAAAAATGAATATATGTATCATCTTATGACGTTTTGAAGTTAAGCTCTTGTAATATCTTCCATAACCTAGTTCTTCTTATATCAGTAAAAAAATTGTCTTCACGAATAATTGACAAAACTTTATTCACTGAAGGTATTTCGTTTTTTATGTAAAAAGAGTGTACTGCTCTCGTAATAGAATTCTCGACTTCTTCGTCGATAACCAAACACTTTCTGCCAGTGGATACTTTCGGTTACAGAAATATATTGTTTTCCTTGAGTTCCTTAAGAATTCTATGAATTATCGATGTTTTTTACCACTTTTATTCATAACCGATGTTACTGCAATTTCGTCCTATACGGACATTTTCAAACGAATACAATATAACCTGCAAACGCCTCTAAATAATAGGAGCAACCTTTGGAGACTATAATGGGGGTTTCACTAGTGGAAATTAATGTGGTTAGTTACTTTCGGGGAGTGGGTCGTGGAAAAATACTTTAATGTATTTCACTAGTTCGGACTTCCATTGTCTACTATATAAAATGATTTGAAATCCCTGAAACAACTAAAATTGAAGAATTGAAAATGAATAGCTGAAAATAACAATTATATTAAATAAAAAAACTTGAAATGAAATAATAGTGAAATAAAATACAAGTAAAAATAGAACAATCGAATAAAAATTAAGAAATGAAAAAAAAATGAAAATAAAAAGTGGAGAGATTCCAAGTCACGTTAGTTCACGACGTTTCGATTGTTAGTATCTACAATCGTCTTCGAGTGATGACTGGACTGATTCCTCCGAGAGATGATTATTTATAGGTCGTTCGAGTGCTTTCACTTATCCCCGCTTTCCATTTTCCGCTTCACTGGTTCCGTGGGAGATGACCGTTTTGGCGGGAGTTGGCCATTTTTCGCTTGATGATGGGTTTCTATATGTTGCGTATTTCTACGCTGGCTTAGCTGAATACGTTGTTAGACAACATGTATGCGGCTTCCTTGAATTTTCTCCTAAACCAATGTTCCTCTCTGTGCAAGATCTCAGCTTGGGACCACTCGATGTTGTGTTGATGGGTCCAAACATGGTCTGCTATTCCTGATTTGATGGTTTTCCCTTGCTGAGTGTGTTTCTTGTGCTCGACAATGCGAACATTCAGTGGCCTCTTAGTTTCACTAATATGGGATTTTCCGCACTCACAGGCTATCCGGTAAATGCAATTCTTGGAATCGCAGTCCGCGTTTGGTGGCCAGGTTTTCGTGAGGCTGCTACGGAAAATGTTCCCGGATCTGAAGCAGGTTCTGATGTTGTACTTGGAACCAATTCTTCTTATCCTCTCCGATAATCCTCTGATGTAGGGAAGTGCAAGCACTGGTTGTGACGGCTTCTCTTCCTTGCGAGGCTCCTGCTTTCTTCTAGCCAAAGTCTTTTCTACCATCGCTTTGGAGTAGCCATTCCGTTGAAGATCTTTTTTGATTATGGCTAGTTCCTTCTCGAGACCTTCCTTCGTATTACAGAGCCCAAAAGCACGGTCTAATAGAGTCTTAATGATTCCACATTGAGTCGATTGATGGTGGTTGGATTCGTGGTTCAGATATTGTCCCGTGATAGTGTTGTCGGTCCTCTTCACCAAAACGTCTAAGAATGGCAATTCGTTGTGGATTTCCTTCTCCATTGTGAAATTGATGGAAGGTCTCACGCTGTTGATGTGTTTCAGGAAGGCGTCTAGTTCAGTATTCCCATGGTTCCATATTATGAAGGTGTCGTCAACATATCTCAACCAGACTCGAGATTTCTTGTGGGCTTCTTCAATGGCAAGAGTTTCAAACCACTCCATATATATGTTGGCTATGACTGGTGAAAGTGGCGATCCCATTGGCAGTCCCTCATCTTGTGTAAAGAGTTCGTCCTTTAGTTGGAAATAACAGTTTAGTAAACAGTATCCAAGTAATTCCATGATTACTTCTATAGGTAGATTCGTTCTCTCTTTCAGGTTCCCGTCTTCGGATAGTTTCTCTGTATGATTTGGAGTGCTTCTTCGACCGGAAAGTTGGTGTAAAGGCTTTCCGCGTCGAAACTAATTAGTTGATCTTCCTGTGTGACCTCAATTGACCCTAGTAGTCTCCACTTTTTATTTTCATTTTCTTTATTTTTATTTATTCAATTGTTCTATTTTTACTTGTATTTTATCCCACTATCATTTCATTTCAGGTTTATTTTGGTTGATATAATTGTTATTTTCAGCTATTCATTTTCAATTTTCCTTTTTTGGTTGTTTCAGGGATTTCAAATAATTTTATATAGTAGACAATGGAAGTCCGAACTAGTGAAATTCATCATGAAACATTGTCAATCACCTTCAAACAATAATGTAATGTGATAGAGAATAAATCCATTAGTTGTGTAAGCTGCAATTAGATTTAACTACATTAATTTTTTTTAATTCTCATGGAGAGATGGAAATGATCATTTGATACCTCAAGGTTTACACACACAGAGTTTACATATATAAACTAATGAGTGGTAAGTAAATATAATTTTAATGATTTGTCACATTGAGTTAATTGTATTGTTTTTTCTGAAATCACTGGTAGATAAGGCTGCTGAGGGAAGTAAAAAGTTATTAGTTATATTCAAATGTAGCCAATAAGCAGAGCAATGGGGAATGTTCCCCCAAGATGGGTTATTACAGCAAATGCAAGTTTGAACAAAATAAAATTGAGTTTAATTCATGAGTTTTTCAAATTCACTTCGAAAAGTATTCAAATTGATGTTTCAAATGTTGGGTTTTAATTTTTAAAGGAATTTGTTTCTAATTCCCATATTGGCAACAGCGCCTATATCAAGTTGAAATATTTCATACGTACCTAGATATTCTACTTTGAAAAAGAAAAACTATCTTTATAAATCAACAATTGAGGGAAAATATAAATTATAGTCATATAAACAACAGTTGTTTTGTTATTTATTTATATAGAGGAAGATAGGTTAAGTGCACAAAATGTCATATGTCACAGAATGCCTCGGAACTCGGAACATAAGTAAAGAGAACAGCACGCCTCTGAAATATGTCATCTTTGTTTGTCTCATACAGGTTACAGATTCATTGTCTTCTATTAGCTATAACCGATGTTGCCAAATGGTATTGGAATAATTTTTTAAAGAAAAAGGTTGAGATGATAAGTTTAAAATGCGTAGTTTCAGAGCTCTTTTATAAAAACTACTTGATTATCATCAGGAGGAACATTCCCCATTTACAAGCAACAATAAGTGTGATATTAATATAAGCAAAGCAATAGAATAGAAATAATGGAAAGAGCTCGCCTGATCAAGATGTCGCCAGCGTATATCTTCCTCCAATGGATATTCTCTCCTGCATAGAGTCAACTAGCCCCCATATAATAATAATAATAATATCGTCTTTATTATCTTCTAGTACATTTGAAGCAAATTAATCATGTACAGTTCATTTATTATAAGAAGATAAAAGGCGAAGTTCAATTTACATGATGACAAGTCTTCATTCAATTGCTCTTCCACTTAACCTCAAAAATGTCGCCTAGTACGCAAAGGAATGAATAAAAAGAATTTTTAAATATCTCAAAATATTATGACCATTTATAGATTTGTAATAGGTAGGTAGCTATTGGGTTATTAATAGTTTGAAGATAATAAGAATCATTTGAAATTGGTATTGAAATTATTGAAGTCATCTCGTTTCATGGGCTCGGGAATGTCATTATGAAATGCACAGATCTGGTAGCTGAAACTCCTTCTAAAGAACTCAGCGCGAAAGGATGGCGGAGTTAGTCGGTCTTTATATCGTACATTAATATTATGCACTTCACTATTAATTTGCAGCATGTAACGTTCTCTTGTCGTTCATATTTAACCAGCCGGTATCCTTTAATTTATGAGATATTCTTTCTCTTCTTCTAATATCAAAAATTAACCGTAAGCAGGAATTCTGAACTTTTTGTATCTTTTTCTTGAATTGGTTGGTTAAACATGGACCATACAAAACATCAGCATAATTGAATATAGATAAAACTAATGATTCGCACAAATTCGCCTTCACCTTCATGGATAGGAAATTTCGGTGTTCATATATAATTTTGAGCGAATAATATGCACGCCTAATAAACTGATTAACCTGGCTTTCGAATTTCAAGTCCTTATCTAAAATGATGACCAGGCTTTTGGCTTCTGGGACAATCCCAGACTATCAAACCTTTCACAGATTTGCAAATATCATTTCTAGGGCCTTTTGTTCCGAAAACAATAACATTGGATATAGTACAATTTATATTTAGGCAGTGATCAGAAGCATTTTTCACAAATAATTTTAAGTCCCTATTGATTTGAGTACACGCACTATCTATCATTTCAGGTGAGAAGCTATGATACAACTGGGTATCGTCTGCATACAAATGTATAATACAAAATTTAAACATTTTGCAAGTTGAGATGTGTAGATAGCAAACAAAAGGGGTCTCAAAATAGAGCCCTGTGGCACTCGACATATCAACTTTAAATATTTCCTCCTATGGTAACTTTTTGTTGACGGTTGGTGAGATACGATCTGATTAGTGATACAGCATTTTTAGAGAGTCCTATATAGCAAAGAATTAATAACATTGAATCGAAGTTAATAGTATCGAACGCTCTACTGAAATCAAGAAGTACCAGTTCTGTATTATTTTTTGCGTCACGTGCTCTTATAATATCGTCCACTATATGCAACAAAGCAGTTGTACAACTATGTCCTTTACGAATTCCGGATTGAGTTATTGGAAGTATAGAGAAATTGTCAATGTGTTCTTTCAACTGAACTTCAATAGCTCTTTCAAGAACTTTTGACAAAGTTGGTAATAAACTAATGGCGCATAGGTCTTTGTATTCTGATGGATTTTTTTTTGAACAACTTTCACTATTGCTTTCTTCCATACCGTGGGAAAAATATTATTTTTCAGACAAAAATTCACAATATGTGTTACATATGGAATTATATGTGGACAGCACATTTTTATGAGTTTTATATTCAGTAAATCATATGCCATTGCATTTGTTTTTATATTAGAAATTGTTTCAAAAACGGACATATCATGTACTTCTTGAAATTTGAAGTCAAAGTCTCTCAATTTATTGTCAGTATAGAAAGAGGTGAGTTTGGGAGGTAGTTCATTAATAGGAAGTGAGTTAACAAAAAAATCATTTAACTGTGAGGAATTCTTCAAATTCTCTGGAATGCTGTGAATTTTATTTGGTATGAACTCATTAGATTTTATGGCTTTCCAGAGATCTTTGTTGTTTTTTTGTTGAGCTCTGAAATGAAATATGCCTTCTTTTCTTTCTTAATCGCCTGATTTGTGACGTTCCGCATGTCCTTATAGAACTGAAAATGAATTTCTGATTTATTTCTTTTGAATCTTCTGAAAGCTTTATGGGGGCTAGTTTACAGTGGCTAGTCAGAAATTCTACTGTCAAGCGAAGGTTTTTCCTGGTCATCGCCAGATATTTCTTTGGCGCTAGCTTCCCAGGGTCGCCAGGGTGATCCCGCCAAGACTGCATCCTTTGATCCCATCCCATCTCTTCAGGGATTGAGCATGGGTGTGGCGTTTGGCTAGTTCCCCAATCGTCGAAGTTATCAGGCCGTAGGTGCCACTGGGTCCTGAAATTCTTAGTCCAGCCGCTTCCTTGGCTAAAAAGTCGGCAATGCGATTACCTTCACTCCTGTCGTGCCATACGTATGTATCTCGTCTTGAAACAATCTTCAGACAATCTTTTGATGATGAAGAATAGAAAATTCTTTTTGAAATTCATTTATTTTCGGATTTAAATTACATTGGCACCATGAATAGCGACCGTTTTATTACAGAAAAGGAAATATATACACAGTTTCATTTGAAATGTAGTCTTTTATTGCACTATCCTGACTAAACGAATAAAAAATGTGTTATATTGTGACATTGGCAATATACTGGATATATTGTAACATGTAGGTATACTTTTCAGCTATGAATTCCTTACAATTGATTAACCTATATATTTTACTGCGATTTTCTCATTTATAAAATATTTAGTCTTTTAGTCTTTGGCGTGTTATTTGGTTTCGTCTATTGGTAATCGTGTGTGTGTAGAAATGGAGTCACATAAATGGATAATATAATTGATTTATCAAAACATGTCGAATTTACTGAGGTTTGTGGTAAACAAATTTCGAAAAAGTGTCATTGAAATTGGCCACAGGCTACTCTTCAAAGCTGAATTCAAGCTTTCGGAAATGTTCTTCTTCAGGACAACTGAAAAGATGATTGTAAAAATATATGTATAAAACGTTACAGATATAACTTACTCAACTTGAGATTATTATAAAAAATTAGGAGCAAATCGAACGAAAAATAATTTGAAAGTTAATTTTGACATGAATCAATAAATGCAAATTTTTTATATTGATATCATGTTGAGTTAGTTATATCTGTAACGTTTTATGCATATATTTTAACAATCATCTTTTCAGTTGTCCTGAAGAAGAAAATAAACATTTCCGAAAGCTTGACAAACTAGCAAAGAGTTTTCATCCTTTACCTTGACTGCAACCTCAAGATATTATCTAATTAATTCATAGATTCAGTGCAAAGTGCAAAGGATAGACAACAGTACTGATTTTTAATAAAAAGATATGATATATGGTTCCAAAAGTCGTCATAGAAAACAAGTGAAACACGTGAAGATAGTGGGAAATAAGTAGGAACAATATTTGTGATAATCATATCGGATGAAAACCAATCATGATGCGCAAAAACCAAAGTGGACACAGTCCAATAAATATATTTTCTTGAAGATTTCAGTTGAAAGAGCAGGTTTCAGCTTAGAAATCATAACTTGGACCAAATTTATAACACTTTTCCATTCCATGTAAAACTTTTAACTGTATGTAGCTGTATGTAGAATAGAAATTAAAATATGTCTCGGAACATCGACTATTACACATTATAAGTTCTTCTTTTAATATGTACATTCACTGGTATATATTGAACAGTGCTAATATCTTGCAATATTTAAAATCCTTTAATTTATATGTACAGTGTGATAATAACGAAAGTGCGCACATCTTCTATATTGATCCTTGAAATAAATACATTATTTTGATATTCGAACGTTCTGAAAGTTCATAAAGGGCTATTGTCCATCAGGTAAAAAATTTTTGATAGAAAATGAGTATTCGAATTGACCTATTGCAATAGAAGAAGAAACATCAATTCTACATAGTTGTATCGCAAATAGGGAGTATTGTTCTTTAACTTTTCCTGATTTGGCCACATTCAACCAGCATCCCCAATAATTCAACTTCATTGCTTATTTTTCTCAGAATTGAATAGTAGTAATTCAATAAAATTGAATGAAGCAATGACATTCAAAGATACATAGAATAGAAAAGAAATTAAATGAATACAAACATATATGACATTGTTGAAAATAATCCAGATCAATGCGCTTTTGTTTTTTCCATGAAGTCAAATTCATTCTCATAACTTTTTCACAGAAGGATTTGCTACATGATGATGATGATGATGATATTTGTGTTTTGTTTTTCACATCTAATTGATGAGCCTTGTGAATAGGATTTTTCGGAAATGTTTTTCATCTGCAATACCTATATTGCAATTTCTTGATATCCGGATGTCATATTCATTTCCTGAATAGTTTTTTGAGTATTGTCGTTGAATTTTATTGAGGCCAAATTATAAATATCATGGGCCCCGAGACTGTCCCTTGAGACACAGCAATTTTCAGAAGAACATGACTCCTTGCATGGATCATCAGTCATTTTCGTCACATATTATCGCAAAAGTATGTGGGAAGTATGTTCCTCTAGGTACAATAGCCCTTTGTGAACCATACCGAAGCAAATGAGGTACCCTTAAACACCTAACATCCAACAATGAAAAAAATAATAACATTCCAGTATTGTGATATGAGGTTAAAACTGTGCAAGCTTCTCAACATACGGATTGCAATCGCATCTCAGTAGGTCACAGTATGTCCGTCTCATAAACTTTATTGGTCTGCGTATTCGTGTTATTTTTGTTATTTTGCTCGTCTACGTTATTTGGTGCGATAGAAGAACTAATGGGGTTAGAGTTTGTGTTAGTCAATGAAGTTTTGGTGGTGTTAGGTAAGTTAGTAAGGGATCCAGTGATTTGCGAAGTCGAAAGCTGCAATCCCATCTTCTGCAGAAGGTTTGACTCGCTTCCAGTTTTCTTCAACAGCTGATCTGGAGCTGGAGGTACCACAGCTATCGTGTTGTTTCCTCTCTGTAACTGCTGCAATCTGGCGTATTGTTCCTGAAGCGCCCTTTGCTTTTTCAGCAGCTCTTGGTGTCTGTGTTCCAACTCCTCTTTTCTGTTTTTCTTGGAACCATCTTGGGAGTTGACACTTTCACAGCTGCTGCTGTTGCTGGCAGAAATAACCTCAGCTTCTGCCGGTAATTGGAGGTTGGATCCGATATTTCTGGGCAACGTTTGGGATTTCGAAGGGTCCTTGAAACTCGACCTGTTTGGGATATTTCTGCGCAAGGTTTGGAGGCCCAAATTTTGAGTCGCTTGTTCAAACTGGGATAAGGGTTTTTCCACCATATTCTGCACGTTCTGGATATGTTGCAACCCCGCTGCAGGAGATTTGGGAGGCAAATTCGGCGAGGTTGGGGAAGCTAAGGGCGATTTCGAGCTGGTTCTTGGAGGAGGTGGTGGTGGTACTCGCTTCCCAGCAACTACCTGGTGGAGAAGTTCTTGGTTTCTCTCTGGAAGGGGAGGTTTGGCAGTAGTTTTGACATCCCTTTGCAGGGGTTGTATTGGTGGGCTGTTATCCGTGTCTGATCCACTTGGATAGGAATGCAGTCTTCTGAGACTTCCGGTGGCCGTGCTTACAGACAAATTTTGCGTTGGTAGGAATGAGGCAGAGTCCATACTGCCTTTCCTGCCAATTTCCGATATCTGGGGGGGTCGGGCGCCCTTGGCTGGAATGGCGGGGGCATCGGAGTCGGAGGCGTCTTGGGTTTGAGCAATGGGGTGGGGTTTGGAGAATGTCTGCAACTCGTCTAGCAGAGCGTCGAGTGCGTTCTCCGGACGCTGGGTACCGTCGGAGGGGCTGCTGTCTCCCCCGAGGAGGACCGACCCCACACGTGGAGCGGTAGGGGGCTGAAAAACAAAACAAAATAAGTTCATGCGAAAACTTGATATGAAAACGAGCCATATAATCAGAAATGCTGCCAATGATTTGAATGGTATGCTTGTCAATTTCAGAAAAAAATTTATGTAGGTATATTGTATGAATAATTCTATAGTTCTGGTTGAACTGAATAATGGGAGTATTGTAACAAACAAAAAGTTGAGAGCAGGGTCGTAGCGAAAAGAAAAACCAGGGGGGAAGGAATCCAAATTGTCCCAACTCCACCAGCGAAATTTCCCAACTTTCGAAGAAATGAAAGCCGAGAGATTAGTTACTACTATAATATATTGATTTTCTTACTTAGCTATCCAAAGATTGGCTGCATGTTTATACCTGTTAGGGTATGCACAAACAAAAATAAATTTTGTTGATTATAAAAATAATAATGGGAATTATTCTACTTTGGACCAAGGCCCTTGATCTTCCACCATATCCACCATTTATAGGAATATTAAATACAAATGAAAGGAAACAACACTTAAATAATATTGTGCTTATTGTTTTCTACTATTATTTTTTCTATCTCCACGGCCCGAAATTTCCCAACTTTTCCAAGTCGGAAAAACAGCGAAAAGTTGTGAATTTTGTAAAATTGTCACTTCAAAATTTGTGTACTATTCAGGACTGTTTTCTTACTTGGGGGGAATTAAAACTTTTTTGAAGATTTCGAACAACTCAGAATTGTCTTCAAGTTATGCATGTTGGGAAATCTCAACCTGGTTCTTTCCCTTTTCTTATTACTAAAATTTACCAACTTTTTCCAATTTTTTCCCAAGTCGAAAAAGCAGGGGAGGAGGCTTCCCCCATCCCCCCATGGCGACGGCCCTGGTTGAGAGACATAAAATGAATTGGATGGAGTAAAAAGAGAGGTCATTTTCGGTTTTGTATATTTTATATTCTAGTTTTGCGTTTTCTGTTGAATTGTTTTTTGTAAATGAAATGAAACCCTCCATATTTGACTAAATGTGAAAAAAATTGTGATACGCGCTTGGCATATTCACTTGTACGTATAGGATGTTTTATATAGAGATACAGAACTTTGAAATGGAATGAAACAGAAATGAATTTCTAAATTGACATGAACCTTATTTTAGTCAAAATGTAATTTTCTGGCATTATATTTTAAATATGACTTCTGACATAAGACCGTCATGGCTGGCTCGGACGTAATCTAATCTGGAGGTCCAATTTTCGATGACTTTTTCCACATATGTCCTTTGAGTGGTCAATCGTTTCGAGCTCATCGACGTAGACTAGCAACTCCACATATCCCCACAGAAAATAGTCTAGAGGTGTTAAATCGCACAATCTTGGAGGCCAATTAACGAGTCAGAAACGTGAAACTATGCGGTTACCAAACGTTTCCTTCAATGAATCAATTATGACACGGCCTGTGTGACATGTTGCGAGGTATTATTGAAATCACTGCTCCTGCACATCATGGTTGTTCAATTGAAGAACGACAAAGTCAGTAATCATGGCTCTATAGCGACTGTAGCGTTCTGATCAGCACCGTTTATGAAGAAGTACGGATCAATGATTCTACCAGCCTATAAAGCACACCAAACAGTCAGTTTTTCTGGATGTAACGGTGTCTTAACATACACTTGAGTATCATCATAACCACAAATATGGCAGTTGTCTTTATTGACGTATCCATTCAAACAAAAACGAACTTCATCGCTAAACAAAATTCGCCGCGATACGTATTTCGAACAGAACCAAGATATCCAAAATAATTTGCACAATTTGGAAGCTTTGTTCGGCCGTCAGTCTATTCATGTCGCTAAACTCAACTAAACATGCATCACTTGACAGCTGACAAAATGGCCGCCAGGTTTAGTTGATAGGTGAGAGGCAAAAAAGTCAAAAGTGTGTTGCGTGTGTTGAGAAAGTCAAGAAAATTGTTATGGAGGATGGTCGAATCACTATTAGAAGAGTTGCTGAGGAGAGTCACGACCAAAAAAGCACGCCAAGTTGTATGAAATGTCAAGGTCCTGCTCACTGTTTTCTTTGATTACCATAGCGCAGTGCATTGGAAGAACTCACCATATGATAGTATTGTTGATAAGGAGTGTTATGTTGGAGTTATGTACCGCTTGTGAGAAGCAATATAAAGAAAATATGTTGAAAATCTATTTTTCCGTTAAACAGCTGTCGCCCTCCTATGAACGACAGCTCCCAAAAGTCAAAACCTGTGCAAGCTAAAGACTAACTAGGTCTTACCTTTCAACGTGTGATTTCTAACACAGGTACTAGCACGTCCGGTTTTGTTGCTTGTTTGTAATGTTTTGACCAAAAACAACACCGTGATCATGCCTCAGCATCCCTGTGACTTTTTACTGTTCCCAAAATTGACGGGAGACGGAGGTTTGCAACGCTTGAGGAGATACAAATAGAATTGGGGAGGGAGCTCAAAAAATGCATATCAGAACTGTTCCGAAGAATGGAAAAACTATGGCACAACTGTATTTTATCTGAAGGGGGACTCTTTTGAAGGGGACAAAATAGAAATTGATGAATGCATGAATATTAAAAAAAATGTTCAACTGCGGTTAATTTTTTCTGCCAGTGAAAAAGTACATTTTGTTTTTGGCAACCACTTCATAATGAGGTGAGGTGATAAACTTTCACTTTGCTACTGGCACAGAAAAATTAACTGCAGAGTCACTGACAAAAACACACTTCATAAAGAAATATCGTGGGAAATAAACAAAAGTGTGTTTTTGCAGTGTATCCTCAGTGAACATGAATTTCCACAAAATAAACAAGTCGTCAATCAAAGAACTGCAGAGTATCGTAAATATTTTTTTGTAACACAAGATATATATTTCGATTTTTTGATTTTGAAAATTGGGAAAAAATACAGTCAGTGGCCATATTCGAAGACTGAACATCCAAAACATTAGGCTGAAGCGGACAACAAACAACAGGTTTGTTATCGCCCCATCTGTCTGTGAACGAGGTAACCAACCGCATATCCAAAATTTGCGCAATTTCTCATACAAGGAAATTAAACTTCTCACATATAGTAAGTGTGCATACTTGAAGACTGGCTATGAATCAAATCATCCAAAAGAACAATACGTTCAAGCCAGTCTCGGATATGCGGGTGGTTACCTCGTTCACAGGCAGATGGGGCGATGACAAACCTGTTGTTTGTTTACCGCTTCAGCCTAGTTCGATAAATGATACTCGGAAGGAATTTGATTTTCAATTATCGTAAATCATCGACTTCATTTTGAACTACCTTGAACTAACTGACCCATTGTGACCCATTGTACATCCTCCAAAGGAATTGTCCTTCTAGGTCATATTCCATTCTGTCCTTTCCAGGAAGGTTGGCGGGTCTCTGGGTGACATCTCCTTTAAATCGGTAGGTGCAGACCAAGACTCGCCAAACACACACTCTCTTATTGACGATTGACGATTGAGCATGAGTGTGACGTTTGGCTGGTTTCGCAATTGTCAAAGTTATCAAGCCGTAGGTGCCACTGGGTCCTAAAATTCATAGTCCAGCCTCTTCCTTGGCTAAAGAGTCGGCAATGTGATTACCTTTACTCTCGTCGTGTCCTTCCACCCACCCCAGGATAATGAAATTATCTACCAAGGCTTTGGCTAAACCTTGGTGGTACTCTACTACTAGCTCTGAGGTAACACGTTGTCTGTTTAAGGCTAATAGGGCTTGTCTGCTATCAGTGCAGATTGTTATGTTTTTGCCAGAAATTCATTTCCTGGTTATTTCTTTTGTGGCGAATGAGATACCAGCCTGTTCTTTTAGGCTAGTCCTTCGTGGTATTAGCCAGGGTAGTAGCTGTTTTCTGATAGGTGTCAGTCCATTCACCTACATTGTTGGGAGTTGAGACTGGCCTGAACGAATTGTTGTTTTAGATGATTTGATAAAAAGTACGTCAATTGGTGAAACATTAAAATTATTGGATGCTATTTCAAAAAAAGAGTAAACTTCGTCTTTCATTTCTTACTTCATCAAGTTGTTCAACAATATTTCCATAGATGGCGTTATAGTGGAAAAGAAATGGTCGCTTGTGTTATATCGATGTAAACAGAATTCCATTTCTACTAAGTGGCATGACAAAATATACAGAGCTTTATTTCAAATCCTTGACTTTGATTCATTTCTGGTTGAACTGAAATCAACTTCATTTATTTTTTGATTCGAAATATTGACTCTAATCATTTCAAATTTATAATTTTTTTGTCCCAGAAACAATTGATTGCCGCCGTTTACAAATATTTCGTTGTCACCCGGTATAATCAGCTCTTGAATTATTGAAAGTTACGAATATTGACAGTAAGTTTATTAAATCCTCGATATACAAGAATTATATTCAAACAATATACCTCCATTTTCGCTCTGCTAAATTTCAAAATAATTGTGAAAAAGTACCGTCCTACCATGATTGAAGGAAAAAACAATGCAATGAATGTTTTTTGCTTTCTCGAAACCCGTAAATTCGATCTGCATACTCCACATTCTATGTGCGAGTTGAAATGTCCGAACATTAGCAATTCGTTCATTCGCTTTTGTCAGTCTTAAGCAAAATTATCTACAATTAAATTTTATTAAAGAAAATAATTTTTGATTACCTCAACACAAAAACGTTAATGGGTGCAAAAATAAACATCAACTACTGAATACTGGGTAAGTCCAACAGAACCAACTAAAAAAAAAAGAAAACAATTAACACCAATTAACATTCATATGACACTCAAGTTTCACATGCCTGGAACATGATCATAGGATAGAAGCAAAAGCTCATTATATACAATACACAGTCTAGTGCTGTAGAAAATAGTTATAAGTTCATGCTGATACACAATATGTTGGGTCAATTCTTACATTATGACAGTCTCAATTCCAGGTTTTCATGAAAATATATCAATATTCTGTTCAAGGATCATAATTCCATTTTGAATCTCAAAATGATGCTTGTTGGAAAATTTAAAC